CAGGAACATAGAACTAGGTGCAAAATTCTTTAATCCATTTTGAGTTGATTATTGTGAATGGTATAAGATAGGCATCCAGTTTCATTCTTTTGCGTGTGGTTGTCCAGTTTTCCTGCACCATTATTGAAGAAACTATCCTGTCCCTGTTGTGTGTTCTTGGCTCTTTCTTTGGAAATTAATTGACCCTGTATGTATAGATTTATTTCTTGTCTCTCTGTTTTGTCCCATTGATCTATGTGTCTGTTTTAATGCCAATACCATACTATCTTGACTACTATGTTGTTAATGTTAGCTGCTCAGTCGTGTTTGACTCTCTGTGACCCCATGGACTGTAGCCTGTCAGGCTCCTCTGTCTATGAGATTCTCCAGGCATGAATACTGGAGTGGGTTGCCATTCCCTTCTCCAGGGGATCTTCCAGCTTTGTAATATAGTTTGAAATCAGGACACATGATGCCTTCAGCTTTATCCATCTTTCACAAGATTGCTTTGGTTATTTGAGATCTTTTGTGGTTCCATACAAATTTGGGGGATTGTCTATTCTTCTTGTGTGAAAAATCCCATTAGAATTTTGATAAGGATTCTGTTGAATTTGTAGATTGCTTTGGGTAGTATGAACATTTAATAAATATTCTTCTAATTCATGAGCCCAGAATTTCTTTCCATTTGTTGGTGTCTTCAGATTTTTCCATCAGTGTCATAGTTTTCAGTGTACAGATCTTTCACTTCCTTGGTTAAAATTATTCTTAAGTATCTTTTTTTTTTTAGACATTATTGTAAATGGGGTTGTTTTCCTAATTTCTCTATATAATAGTTTATTATATAGTGTATAGTTCAGTTCAGTCGCTCTGTCATGTCTGACTCTTTGTGACCCTATTAATCATAGCACACCAGGCTTCCATGTCCATCACCAACTCTTGGAGTTTACCCAAACCCATGTCCATTGAGTCGGTGATGCCATTCATCCATCTCATCCTCTGTCATCTCCTTCTCCTCCTTCATTCAATCTTTCCCAGCATCAGGGTCCTTTCAAATGAGTCAGTTCTTTGCATCATGTGGCCGAAGTATTGGAGTTTCGGCTTCAACATCAGTCCTTCCAATGAACACCCAGTACTGATCTCCTTTAGGGTAGACTGGTTGGATCTCCTTGCAGTCCAAGGGACTCTCAAGAGTCTTCTCCAGCACCACAGTTCAAAAGCACCCATCCATTCTTTGGCACTCAGCTTTCTTTATAGCCCAACTCTCACATCCATACACGACTACTGGAAAAACCATAGCCTTGACTAGATGGACCTGTGTTGGCAAAGTAATGTCTCTGCTTTTTAATATGCTGTCTAGGTTGGTCATAACTTTCCTTTCAAGGAGTACACGTCTTTTAGTTTCATGGCTGCAGTCACCATCTGCAGTGATTTTGGAGCCCCCAAAAATAAAGTCATCCACTCTTTCCCCATCTATTTGCCATGAAGTGATGGGACCAGATGCCATGATCTTAGTTTTCTAAATGTTGAGCTTTAAGCCAGCTTTTTCACTCTCCTCTTTCAATTTCATCAAAAGGCTCTTTAGTTCTTCTTCACTTTCTGCCATATGGTGGTGTCATCTGCATATCTGAGGTTATTGATATTTCTCCCAGGAATCTTGATTCCAATTTGTCCTTCTTCCAGCCCAGCGTTTCTCATGATGTACTCTGCATATCAGTTAAATAAGCATGGTGACAATATGCAGCCTTGACATACTCCTTTTCCTATTTAGAACCAGTCTGTTGTTTCATGTCCAGTTCTAACTGTTGCTTCCTGACCTGCATACAGGTTTCTCAAGAGGCAGGTCAGATGGTCTGGTATTCCCATCTCTTTCAGAATTTTCCACAGTTTATTGTGATCCACAGAGTCAGAGGCTTTGGCATAGTCAATAAAGCAGAAATAGATGTTTTTCTGGAATGCTCTTGCTTTTTCAATGATCCAGTGGATATTGGCAGTTTGATCTCTGGTTCCTTTTAGTGTATAGAAATGAAACTAATTTTTGTGTATTAACTTGTATCCTGTAATTTTACTGAATTTGTTTATTCTAGTAGTTTTATTTCTGGTGGAGTTTTTATTGTTTTCTGTATATAAAGTCACCTGCAAATAAGACAGTTTTACGTCTTCCTTTCTGATTTGGATGTATTTTTTTTCTTGCCTGATTGCTCTGGTTAGGACATCTAATACTGTGTAGAATAAAAGTAGTGAGAATGGGCATCCTTGTTCCTGATCTTACAGGAAAAGCTTTGAGCTTTTTACCATTAAGCATGATATTAGCTATGGACTTATCATATATGGCCTTTACTATGTTGATGCACGTTGCCTCTATACTGACTTTGTTGAGAGTTTTTTATCAGAATGGATATTAAATTTTGTCAAATGTCTTTTCTGCCTCTATTGAGGTGATCATATGGTTTTTATCTTTCATTTTGTTAATGTGGTGTGTCACATTGATTTGTGGATGTTGAACTCTCCTTATACCTGAATTAAATCCCACTTGATTGTTTTAATTTATCATTGATTTTGGTGGGTTAGTATTTCGTTGTGGATACATCTATATTCATCAGTGATATTTGCCTGTAATTTTCTGTTCTTGTGGTGTCCTTGTTTGGTTTTGGTATTAAGGGTAATGTTGGCCTTGTAAAATGAGTTTGGAAATGTCCCCTCCTATTTTTTGGATGGGATTGAGAAAAATTGACATTAATTACTCTTTAAATGTTTGGTAGAATTCACTAGTGAAGCCATCTGGTTGTGGACTTTTTTTGTTGGATGGTTTTGATTAGTTGTTCAATTTTCTTGCTAGTAATTCCTGTGTTCAAATTTTTTATTTCTTCATGATTCAGGCTTGATGGGTTGTATGTTTTTAGGAATCTATCCATTTTTTTCTAAGTTATCCAATTTGTTGCCATATAATTATTTAGAGTAGTCTCTTATGATCCTTTGTATTTAAGTGGTATCACTTTTATCCTTTTTCTTTGATAACTTTTAGAAAAGTTATATTTTTAACAAATGTTTGGATGATTGAAATTGTAATAATTTGGGAAACTATGTTAGGAAAATAATGTCAATATCCCCAGGCTGACCCATGATCTATTGCCTCTTTTCAAGATGATATAATGTCTGTTTTTCTTTTGTTTTGTTTTGTCCTTGTCCGAGAGCACTCCACAACCTCAGAATAAACCAAAGCCATCATGCACTAAGATGTGTGTGCCTAAACACACTGTGTATGCATCTCCCTCACACTCACGTAACACTTTATCTGTTGCTTATACAAACAAACACACAGCTACTCATCAGAAATTCTCTATTATGCTTGAAAGCAGGCAATGCTAAGACCAACTACAAGTATTATTCATCAAATCTGGACACATTCCTTCAGCCTTTTTTCTGCTAACAATAGATAGAGCCTGATTGTTTGTAGAGAAGAATATCTTTAGCCATTAGATACAGGCTAAAGACATTTTCAAAAATATATATTTGTGAATACTGTGTTGAAATTGTGATATACAGAGAGATGTTCTTAAGTAGGGAAAAACCTATAATGTATTAACAGGAGACTGGATTATGTCCACAGGGCACTTGTCTTGTGTAACTTGTAAAACTTAAAGTCAAGAGGATTTCTCATTTGTTAGAGCCTTGCATAAGGGCATATAAACATTCCTTTGCATTTATAAAGAGAAATCTGGCTTCTGTGCAAAAGATCCTTTGCACTTAAAAAGACAAAATCTGATTTCTGTGGTTATTTTCCTAGTAAATGTACTATATTAACCATACAACTTTTGGGAATCCCCTGGAAGTCCAGTGGTTAGGACTCTGCCCTTCCACTGCAGGGGCATGGGTTTGATTATGGTCAGGGAACTAAGATCCTACATGCTGTGCAGTGTGGCCAAAAAAATAAACAGACAATTTTTATCTGGATTCAGACCTAAGAATTTTGTGTTATTGCTTCTGGAGATGTATATCATCCTGATGGCCTTGCTATCTACTTAGGGACCTTTGTAGAGTGGTTGGACCAGTTTTGAAAATGAAAAGATTTTCTCACCTAAAACAAGGGTCTTAGAGTGTGGTGATTAAGAACCTGGGCTCTGATGATAGATCTTGTTTCAAATCCCAGATCTATACATATTAGCAGTGTGACTTTGGGCAAGTCATTTAATCTTTTTAAAGATCCATTTCCTTCCTGTCTGATTTTGAGGATAATACATGTAAAGCATTGAGCAGTATCTATCATTCTCAATAAATGGGAACTACGTAATAATTGTTATTACTGTGAGTACCAATAATACTGTAACGGGTTACCTGAATGTACCTTCTTAATCCCCAGGGCTCTCAATTTTGGATAGCATTTATTCCTGCCTCAGGCCATACCTCCCTGATGTTTTACCTTCTTCTACTTGATTAATTCTGCTTCATCCAGGGAGGTGAATTACAAAAACAGCGGAGTGGTCATTTAATAGGAATGCTGTGAGCTTTAGCATAGCTTTCAAGCTTTTGGACAGAAGCATCTCAGAAACACATTGGTAATTTGGGTTAAAAGAAAAAGCTAGATGCTAAAAGTGGGCATAGCACAAGTTACTGTAGGCATTTTCAAAGCATCTGGGAATGTTTTAGAAGTTATCTATAATCCAGATACAGCATAAACCTCTTTCTCCTTAACCTACAGCCCTTGGGACAAAAAGTGCCTCTCTCTGCTCTTATGAAAGCAGTTCTCATGGGTCAGTTCCATTTCTCATTTGAAAGGAAAACTCCTGCACCTGGGCAAGCCTTTCCTTGTAACAGAAGCCAACGGCAATGTTTGTATCTACCATTAAATTAGAGCCCGTTGGAAGTTCTGGAAACAAAAACCCCAATTGTTCTAGAAATAGCACTATTTAAAAAGTACCTGGCACACAGTAGGGCCTCAAGTTATATTTTCTGAATGAATGAATGACTGAATGAAAGGATGGATGAGGAGGTAACTTGGTGGTGTCTCTGTTTTTTGACTTCAGAGGCACCAGAAACTGTTCAGCCAGGTGCCACGGCCCAGCCTGCCAGCTCACATTCTTTGCCACACATTAAGCAGCAGCTGCGGAATGAAGACTGCTACCACGGCAAGCTGAGCAGGAAAGCGGCAGAGAGCCTTTTGGTGAAGGACGGGGACTTTTTAGTTCGAGAGAGTGCAACGTCTCCTGGCCAGTATGTGCTGAGTGGGCTACAGGGAGGCCAGGCAAAACATCTTCTCCTGGTGGATCCTGAAGGCAAGGTATCATTGACCCACACTACAGTTTCACAGTCTTGTGACTCAGGTTACCTTGAATGATAGGTCTAAAACCTGATACTGAGGAATGTTTAAGGTTAAGGGTTTACTTTGTCTTGAACCCTCCGGCTGGAGCAGGAAGTGGTAAATAGAGGCTAGTGGAGGAGTTTGAGTGGGTCACCCTAGAGGTTCACTTAAAGGGCAGCCTCTTTCTGCCCTTCTTAATGCAATTCAGTGAATTAAATGAATACCTACTGCATAGAAGTACAGAGATTCACAGTTAACTTGCTGAGTGTCACACAGAGACTGTACTTTCAGGGTGTTTGTAATTTCATAAAACAGATGCTTAAATAATTAAGGATGAATAGCATAAGAATGGTTCAGCCAAAGCATTATGGTGTTTCTCAGGATAGAGGGGGTGCTCTGGTTGAGGCTGACAGCAAAGGCTATTTTGCAGGATCTGACATGTACGATGAAGCTTGAAAGAGGCCAGACATTTTAAAGGTGGACATTTGGAGCATAGGGATGGAATCACAGGAGCAAACAGAGCAGTAGAATAATATTAAACCAAAAGAGGTAGGGCTAGAGCAGAGGGTGCCTGTAGACAGAAATGAGCCAGGACCAGAAAAATGAACAAAATAGTAAGTCCTTCTCTATAAAAAATTACTTCAAACATAAATGGATTAAACTTTCCAAACAAAAGATGCAGAATAGCTGCATGGATAACTGAATAGACAAGACCCAACTATATGTATGCTATTTATAGGAGACTCACTTTAGATTTAAGGTCACATTTAGGCTGATAGTGAAAGGATGGATAACGATATGTCATGCTAACCCAAAGACAGCAGAGGTGGTCATACTTTTATGATGCAAACATGTATACAAATAGGGACATGATAGAATGTATCAGAAAGTAACATGGCAAAGAAGTTGGTTGCAAATTTGGATTAGGTGACAAGTGTTTACCATTTTCCTGACTGGGAATGACAGTTTCTTTAAAAAAATAATTGGGAATGAGGAAATAGTTTACTAAAGGATACAGAATTGAAAAGTACCTTTACTTTTCTTTGTTCAGCCAGTTATCCCATTCAAGGATATGTCTGTTTTCACCTGTTTATCCCTTTCAGAAGAACTGTTATTATTTTGCCTAAATACATTTGTATTTCCTTTTCAAGGTGAGGACCAAGGATCATGTATTTGATAATGTTGGCCACCTTATCAGATATCACATGGATAATAGTTTGCCAATCATCTCTTCTGGAAGTGAAGTAAGCCTTAAACAACCAGTGAGAAAAGATAATAATCCAGGACTTTTGCATTCCAACAAATGACCAATTGGAAGTACCATCACACTGATGCTTCAGGAAAGTTCATTTTGTATTAGGACACAAAGATAATTCAAATTTGGTTTCTAGGTACATTAGAGCACAAACTTTGAAGTGTGTCTTTCTGAGACCATCATGGACTAGGTCCTTTATAAAACAAAGAACTAACAAAAATTGATCTTCAGAGAGTGAAAATCAGAAAAGGGGAAGAGGATGTGTCCATTTGCAAAGAAATTATACATATGCACGGATGTCACTTTGTAAGGCCATGTTGTGTTGATAACAAGCTAAAAGCACAATTAAAATTTTACATGCTAAAGACTGCTGGGGCAGTGGTACGTGCCTTTCAACTTGATAATTTGGGGACATTTTCATATTGGGGAAATAAGTTCCAAATGTCTTCATATTCTATAACTATAGAACCATTTGCCAAAATAGTTTTTCTTTGTTATAAAAATAAGAAGCAATTTGCTTAATAGTCACTGACTTTATTTTCTATTTAGCAGCACTTTCACTGCAATGTTAAAATAAATTTGACATTGAATTTGGACTATGTCTATGCCAGTGGAATCAAATGAAAGGCCACTGAAAGCACTGGTCTGTTTCATTGGCCTGTCCCATTTGCTAGTTAAATGGTTGGAGCCCAGCTTCTTTGGCCTAGTATTTCTCAATCTTTGCTATTTGGACTGTTTGCATGTAACATATGACAAGCTAAAGAAGCCAAATGTATCAGTCATTTCTGGTTTCATTGCATTTCTCCCTCCTTCCCCCTCCCCCTCACTCCCCTGACTTCCAAAAAGAGCTCATGAGTGCATGGATTTAAAAAATTGACAAACCAATTCTTCATGGTCAATCTCCATATTGGTTTTATTCTTATTTAAAGTGCTGAATTTATTTTAAAGTATGGGGAAATATCCCCTTGATTGGCGGTGACTGACTCATAGTCCCTCATCTACATGTATCCTTAGCACCTTTTCTAGATATGACCAGACAAAATGTACCAGGGAGAAAACACTGAATGAAAAAGTTGAAAGGTTTGCCACATGTTGGCACGCTTGGTAAACTGATGAGGTAATGAACCATTGTGTAGGTTAAAGCACTGGACTTGGTCTCAGTATGACCTTGTGCAAATTGCTGAATCTGTCTGGACTCCAGATTCCTTGTCTATAAAATGAGGGAGCTGGACTAGGTAAATTCAGAGGTCCATTTTAGCCCTAACATAATATGAGTTTATAAAAAGCAAATTTTCCCTTTATTGGGGGTTAATGTTGATAACCAGCCTGTATAATTAATCTGGAAACAAATTTTTTCCTTTAGTCTGTGTCTGTACTCCCTGAGTTCGTCATTCAGATAGCAGATAGCCTTTCAGTTAAAAACATTGGAACTTTGGAAAAATGTAAGTATTGGTGGTAGAAGTAGATTTGGTTATTTTGAGTAGCAGAAAACAGCTTTGCATATAGAGATATGGCCATTACTTTAGAATTTTTTTTATCATGAGTTATCTAGACAATTGCCTTAATTCCACTTCACTTTGGCTATGTAGATAAATCTTTGCAATTGTGAAATATTTGCTAAATTTTACATAAAATATGAGAAACTTCTTTTGGATAGAAATCATCAGAAATCAAGCACACTGAACTCTAATTATGTGAAGGTTTATGCTTTTTATTTTACTTACACTGTCATTGGCTTCTTCGATATGTTGTTTTCTTTTCTACAACTAGAAAATAATGTATTTTTCCTCAATTTTGCATACATCATAATTCTTGATTATTTGTCCTCATAAAGAGGATCAGCGTGGGTATAAAGCAGCGAAATTTATGGGTGATCTAATTACCTTAACAGGGTTGTGGTCTCATTCTGGTTGAGCAGAGTGATAACTTGGTTAGGTGGCAGGAAAGAGTTCTTGATGCTATTAGATGCAAAGAGTATGACTGATGTGAGCAGTACACATAGATGATCAGTATTTGACTGTAATGGTATAAATAGTTAAATGGGCAAATACTGCACTTACAGCAACAGGCACAGTTAAAAGAAAATGAAACAACAAAAGAAGTTTGATTGCATGCTATTTTAATGTCACATTCTTATCGTCATCTGTCTTAAAGCAGAAATCCATTTGCGTATAAATATCTGTAAACAACTTTTCAAAAAAATAAATGATTATTGATTTATGACAACTGACAGAATATGTCTGATGTTTGGGATTTGGAAAATTTATCGTTTGTAGAATGTGTCAGGGACCTGACGGGAAACAGATGGTTCGCTTAAATTGGGTAACTGGAGAAAAGTTTAATAAAGGGACTATTTACAAAGGTCTGGGCAGAGGATGGGAAACCACAGGGAGGAGGCAGTGCTTTTCTGCGTGGAGGAGTAAGGGGAGGGAGCAGTAACAGAATCTGGAGAGAGAGTCCTGTGAAAGGGCTGCCTCTTAGGAGCTGTGGCCTACAGATCAGGGGCTTTTAACCAGCCCTGGGGACTCCACTGGGAGGAGGCTGAGGGGGCATTATACTCTGTGGGCAAAGGACAGCCTTTCAGCAAATGATGCTGGAGCAACGGTACATCTGTAGGCGTAAGAAAGAAGCTCACACTTTCTGTAAGTATTAACTCATATGGATTATGGACTTAACTGTAACATGTAAAATCATGATAACTTTTAGGAAAAAAGAACACAGAGGGAAATCTTGAGGATATGAGTCCTTAGACATGATCCATTAAAGGGAAAACTGTTATGTTGCACTTCGTCAAAAGTACAAATCTTTGCTCTCTGAAAGTTCTGTTAAGAGGATAAAGGACAATTTATGGACTGGCAGGAAATATTTTCAAACCACATATCTAGAATACATAAAACTTAAAAAAGTCAACAGTAAAAATCCTAATTAGAAAATGGGCAAAAAAATGCATAGACATTTCACTGAAGATACACAGATGACAAGAAGCATGTGAAGTTGCCTTATTTCAGTTGGGCTCATTCACACGCTAGCAATGTTATGCTCAAAGCTAGGCTTCAGCAGTACGTGAATTTAGAACTTCCAGATGTACCTTAGCTAGTACGGAAATACAAGTTAAAATCACAATGAGATCTTACGACACACATAACAAAATGAGTAAGTGAAAAATAATGACAATACCGTGTTGGCTAGGATGAAAAGAAAGTAGATCATGTGTGCATTCCTGGTGAGAATGTAAAATGGTACAGCCCCTTTGGAAAGCAGTTTGGTAGTTTATTAAAAAACTAAACATGGAACTTACATTCAACCCAATAAATTGTACTCCATGGCACTGGTCATACAGAAATAAAAACTTATGGTCCCACAAAAATTTGTACAGTAATGTTCATATTAGCTTTGTTTTTAATGACCTACAACTGGAAAAGTCCCAGATGGTCCTTTAATGTATGACTATTACACAAACTGTCATCCATGGAACAATACTCAGTAGTGAAAAGGAATGAGATACTGATACACATAACCACTTAGATGATCTGCAGAGATTTAGGCAGAGCAAGAAAAGAGTAAGCCCCAAAAGTTAAGTACCATAGAGTTACATTTACATAACATTCTTGAAATGTTTTTATAAAAGTATAGAAATGGAGTCAGTAGGAGAGAGGGAAGTAGACACAGTTGGAAAAGGCAACATGAGGGATCCTTGTGTGATGGAACTGTTTTGAATCTTGACTGTAACAGTGTAGATATCTTGGCTGTCTTATTATACTACTGTTTTGTGAGATATTATCATTGGTGGAAGCTGGATAAAGCTTATAGGAGATCTCCCTGTATTATTTCTTACAATTGCATATGACTCTATGATTTTCTCAAAATAAAAAGTTTAAGTTAAAAAAAAAAGTAGTTTGGGAGTAAAAGATATGGCAAGAGATTGTAGGAAGATTGCCACTTTAACCCTTGGCCAATTCACTGAATATACTGAATCCATAGAACATAGTGGTTGGATCATCTTGGTAGTCCTAGGTCCCATCATTCTAGGACTGGGAGGGGTCATTTGGCTGAGCTGCATGAGACCACCTCCATTTCCTACTCAAATGTAAATGTTTGGTATCTTCTCCAGAGACACATGAATAAGATCAGAGGATGGCAGACATGGACTGTTCAGAACCCCTCAGATCTGCTGAGCCATTTCTGTGTGTTTTGCTCCTAATTGCCTGCACAAGTTCCTTCCAAGGACAACCTCAGGCGAGGCGAGCTGTTTGGGTTACCCAGAGCCAGAAGTGCTTCTGGGCTTCCTCTTCTCTTCCCTGGTGCAGGAGCAGAAAAACTCAGCCAATTACCCCATCCTGATTACACGCTAGAGCTCCCTAGGGGGTCAGGCTGGGGCAAGCACTGCTCCCGAAAGCACACCCCTGCCTGGCTTCTTCCCCTGCCCTGTCCAGCTTCCTCAGTCCCTAACCACTTTCTCTGGGAAGCCCTTCCTTAGTAAATCATTTGCACTCAAATTTTCATCCCAAAGTTTACTTCTGGGAACCTGACCTAAGATAGAATATCAAATAACTTTAAATTTGCATCCCATTACTGGACAATAATATCTAAGTGCTCAAATACGTTAACATTTTTAATAAATCCTATAATTTCTTATAAATGGTATCATTATGCTGCATTTTGTTAATATCCATTGAACATGTTATGTAGGCATATAAGACACCATTTTTATAATCTTGTTTTTGTACTTCTTTTTAATCTACAAGTTCTGAGTGGGCATGAAACTTGGGGGAACACTGTTCAAACTCTATATGACCCAAGCTTACTCAAGTCAAGATATTTTAAGGTTCAGATTATCACAGAACCAAGGAAAAGATGACCTGTCAGGCTTCACGAAGTGCAGGAACCAGGCAGATCCATGGCTCTGAGTGGTAGAAATTCATGATCGTCAGTTTTGAGTTTGCACTATATATGTGACACAGCTATGGAAGTGATATATTTCCTGTAAAATAACAGAAAGTGTAATAAAAATCTGCTTCTCTTCTGTAGGGTTACAAACCTGACTCAGTTTCA